GTGTTTGGATATGCATATATAAGGGATTGAGTCGTGATAAAAACTGTTAGATATGAGAATATATAGCAGCAAACAGCAGCAGTGGCCATTCGTTAGATAACCTTTGACAAAACATGCAGTGTGACCGCAGTAGAAATTGTTATATAATTTAGAAAACTATATTCTGTACATGCTGCTTTCAAATGTCATAAATATTAGTTTGAGAAACACGTAACTCCTGTGTCGTATAAAATGGTGCATATTACTAGTAGTAGCAGTGCATAACAGTGGTAGAGGGTGATAATAGGAATAGAAAACACAGCTTTACTGTAAATCACATTGGGTGTCTCACTCATGCAGCCAACAGGTGGCGGTGCTGCTTTTTTAAATTTTCTACGCTCTCCAACCGGCCTCACCTACCTCCTGCAGACACAAAGAGGCAGACACAGGTGCTTTCTCTTTTCTCTGCAAGCATGACATTTTAAAATCAGTTACTGATATAAGAGATCCTGATAAGTTCCATCAGTCTATATAAGACTCTCCAGCAAGAAGTGTAAATCATATTTCTGATATAGTGCACAAATTACCCCAAAAATAATAGATATATATATATATATATGGAGAATGTGTAGGAAAAACCTACGTTGTAGTGAACACATAATAAGTACTGAGCATGGTCTGTTGCTACTCGACTGCCCCCCCCTCCAGAGCGGCGCATTGTCTCATCTCAGACGTCCTCCTTTCTCTCCCACCATGACATCATCGGTAACCCAGGAGACTCCCTGAATGCCGGGCGACCCAGGAAATGAGGTTATAACTTTGGAATGAGAGAGGGAAGACAACAACTACGACCCCCCCCCCCCCCTCCTCCAGCAGTGCTGCACCCTCCTAACCTTCCCTCCCTTAGCAGCACAACAAGGAGGGCCTTCTCCTCCTCTTCCTCCTCCATGACAGACGCTTCTATAAAGTCCATGAAAACCTGGTTGTCCAGTGAAGTCACAGTAACACTTAACTGACCAGAGAGAAGAGAAGGGGGGGGGGGGGGGGGGGTCCTATTTCCACACACAGGATTCACTATGAAGATTTGGGGGTTCCTCAATCCACAGATATTTAAATCTATTAACAGTACTGCCACTTACCTGTGTAAATACTTTGGCCTACACAATAAATAGAAGAAAAAAAACAAACAAGTGCAATTTGTCATAGCTCAGTCTCTCATTTGAGAGGGTGACCAGTGTCTGGTCTCAGTAGCTGGTTTAGACACATACAAAAGGGAGCGCACAGTGGGGACCGCCCCACACAACGTGACAACAGTGTCTCTAGAACAGCTACAGTGCATTTCGGCGGTAGACAAAGACAGCCGAGGACTTGTTATTAAGTGCGTCTGGTAAGGAAACATGCTCTAATGTGAGGTTTACAGTGTGAGATATGCATGAGTGGGTAACAGCAATCAATGACGTGGTGCATCTGGGGTGTATTTGTTCTAACAGGAATAAGGATGTTTAAGGGAAATAAATGTTGTGGGGTCTTATGATGATGTGACTTGTGATGGGATTAAAGAAACGATCGCTACTCTGCTCTTTGAAATCCCCGTGTGGCTTTAGATATGACTGTGTTGTACGATCTGTTTAACAGTCATTTATTTTTCTTACAGTGTGAATATGAATCCGTCACTAAATTTCAGGCGTAGGATGTAATGCATATGTATGGTTAAAGGAAGAGTCTGGCATTTTTGGGGTTAACACGCTTATTCACTGTCTTGCCAAGAGTCAGGCGAGAAGATTGATACCACACTCTCCTGTCTGTCTGTTAAATATTAAACCTACAGCAAGCAGCAGGTTAGCTTAGCTTAGCATAAAGACTGGAAACAGCTATAGCCTCGCTCTGTCCATTAGTAACAAAATGTGCCTACCAGCACCTCTAAAGCTAACTGATTAACACCCCAAATAAAAAAAAGGGTGTTAAAGGGAACTTTTTATTGGCTGAGAGAGCAAGTTACTTCCTGGAGTCCTTGCTGGTTGCCTGGCAACTGCTTCAGTTTTTGAACAAGACAAAGAAGATATAACGTGTTAGCATAAGAGGTGCTGCTAGGTTGATTGGGTTACCTTCGGTCTGAGCCATGCTAGCTGTTTCTAGCCTAACCGTTTTCTGCTAGCAGTCTCTATGCTATGCTAACTGGATGCTATGTGTACTTTTATATCTCCACGCTAACCCTCTGCTAGAAAGCATCTAATTGCATTTCCCAAAAACGTTTAACTATTCATTTTAATAAATGTATGTATTTGTTCATCGGCTGATCAACTTGTTGGTCGTTTGTCTTCAGTGTTGGGTCTCCACCTCCACCACAGTCCAGTCCCCAGTCGGGGAGCTGCCCCGGCTGTCAGGGGAGTAGCTGCTGACGGAGGTGACTGTGGCGGCCGGAGGGCTGACCTGAGGCAGCAGAGGCCACATGCTGCTCTCCAAGGGGCTTAAGGTGCCCCCCGTCCCCACAGGGAGGAGGAGGAGGGGAGGGCAGCCTCCGTCCCCGGACAGCATCAAGGTCTGGTTGATGAGCTGCTGGACCATGTCCACCTTCTTGTTCCATTCCAGTTCCTGTGGAGGGACCGGACGCAGCTGCCTCTGGAAATCCTGCGCGACGCCACGGGAGGTGGTCCCCATCTTGCCCACCCCCTGCGTGTTCCTGTTCTGGCCTCCTCTGGCCTCGTCCTCCTCGTCGCTGGTTTCCATGGCTTCGTAGATGGTGCAGAGCCCCGAGGACGGGGACAGCATGACTCCGGTCGGGCTCCTCCTCAGCTGCACCTGCTGCTGGATCTGCTTCTGCTGCATGCGGTACTGCTGCTCCAGCTCCAGCTGCCACTGCAGAACCTGTCTGCGGTGTCGGTGCTCCTGCTGCTGCTGCTGCAGCTGCAGCTGGAGGAGCTCCCGACGCTGCTTCTCCAGCTGCTTCTGCTGGTCCAGCCTCAGGCGCTCCTCCTCCAGCCACTGCTTCTTCTGCCTCTCCTGTTCCTGCCGGTGATGCATCTCTCTCAGCTTCTCCTGGTGCTGCTCCAGCTTCCTTAGCTGTTCTCCACCGGCGCGACCGTCAACGTTGGTCTCTATCAGAGGAGGAGGAGGAGGCAGTGCGATCTTGGCGAAATGCGCCTCAACAGTGGGATCAATGGGCCTCCTGTTGCCTGGGACCAAAGCCAAGTAGTGGCCGTTGGCTATAGGAACGGCGGCAGTGTGGTTCTGGTTCCGGTTGTCTTCCCGCGAGTGCGTTAGCAGCTTGCGATCTTCGTCCTCTTCATCAGTCTTCTCGTCTCCTGTGAGACAGTCAAGATCACTTGGTGCATCCATTAGAGATGCATGCATCAAACAGAATGGTTGGTACAAGAACAGGGACCAGGAAGTAGAGGGTTCGGGAGAGATTTGACAAGACGGCTAAAGGTGTAACGAAAAAAAAAAAGAGAACGGGAGCTCTGAAAATAAATTGACATCCAGGACACAGGAAGAAATATACACATACTGTATCCACAAAGCAGGAAACAGACAAATCATAAGGTAGTTCCTGCATGATGTTTTCTCTCTGAAGTTGCACGTTCTTTAATATAACCATATTTGTTCTTTGATTGATTTCATGACGTAAACTACAGTAAACAGGTACCACACTCATATCTTTGTCCTCTTTGAATACGTTGGTCATCATGCAAGACAGCAGTGATATATAAATAGACAGTACAATACAGACAGATGAAAACATGGGGGACTAGACTGACAAAAACATGACAGAAGTAGACTCCACTAAAACAATGCACTCCGGTGCCTCTATGTGTCTGTGTAAAGGGAAGCAGTGGTGTCCCAAAACACAAACCTGAAACAGGACTTCTTGTAGAGGCTCATGAATATATCAACAATTTAGAAAACGACCAAATGGGTGTGTGAGGTTTTTATACAGGTCAGAGGTCAGAGGAAAAAAGGCACGAACGGGATTAAAGTGTTTGGTCTTCTTGAGCTTCAACATTCAGATACATTTGAGCGGCTTGTACAAAGAGAAGCTGTTTCAGTACATCTGTACGCATGTTTGTCTATGCGCAACGGTTTGTATGATACCTGATGCAAAGTTTGTCCTCACTTTTGTGCGTTATCATATGAAAGTCCAGCAACGCGTCAATTTCCACTCGTAAAATGCAGGAAGTCTTTTCAAAATAAACTTCCACCTTCGCAGGAAGCAACTTAGTTAGGTTTAGGTAACTAAACTACTTAGGTTTATGAAAAGATTCTCAACTACTTGGTTCAAATTGTGGTTTCTAGTTTAAATAACTACAGAAGTGCCGTTACTGAAGTACAGAGGTTACGTGACAAATAAATCAACGTTGACTTCCTGTTTCACACGCGGCACAAAGACCGGTCTCCTGGAGGATAGACCGGCATTTGTCTGAAGCGTCGTGTTCCTCTCCCATCCACCCTGTATGACTTTTTGCGGCCTTTATAAATTCTGGTTAATGATCACGTGGATTACATACAATTTGCTTTTGTCGCTATACGAGAACAGCTTTCTATGTGCTGAATGTGTGCGTGGATGCAGACAGATCTGAATAGCTTTCACTCTGTTTAAAGCACTTGTGTGTAGGTGTAGGGTTTATTTCCTGCCTGATTTCTGCTAAAGGTACCGTCATTTTAGACGATTAAGCCATTCGGTGAAACCTCCACAGGGTAACTTAAAGCGAGCGCCACCTGCCAAGGATGTAGCCTGAATGTGACGTTGGTCACCTTGTGTGGAATCTGAAGAAGTCATGAAGGCACATCAGCATGCTGGAGAACAGGACACGGGGACACCATTCGGATTACCTCTTTGATTCGAACCAAAATTCCATTTTCAATACACCATTGTGCAATGTCGCATCACTTCCTGTTTTACCGGTTATTTCCATGGTGAAGAGTAGGAGAGGCCATGGGAAATTTGAATTTGAATTGACAAACACACAGCGACTCGAACACGAGGCATGCTGGATCCACAGGGGAAATAAGAAACAGGAACAAAATGCCTTGCAATGATGTTTTAATGGAATTTTGAAAGATAACCTAGTGTGAATCATTCATCGATGAACATGTCTAGCGTAGAATTGTTTCAAATCCAAGGTAGTACACAGTCTTTATGTTAGTTAAACATGCAATATACTGTTGAAATAGTAAACCAAACGCTCACTATGAAAACATTTCAGCGAGTGATAGTGATGTAGGATAATGGGCGGCGGGTCTCACCACAAATAATAGGCGAGCTGTTAGTCTCTGGAACACAAATGATCAGCTAACTGAGGCTTGAAGCTTAGCCACTTAAAACCAAATGCCTGAAACACATACTGTACGTGACTGCACGTTATATACCTCAACAATCTATGCAAAAGAGCCTCTTGAAGCGCACATTCAAAACTTCACCGACTGCGATCTAATACTTCCCACACCTACCTCAACAAATCTGCCGCGTTAATATCTAGCCTTTATTTTGATAGCTAAAACTCGGAACACAAACTTTTAGAAAGGAGCATCGTGACTAGCGCTATGGTGCTGCTGAACATGAAGCGTGTGCACACAGGGTAGGGAGGACCAGGTTCCAACAGAAAAAAAACCAACAAATAAGCAAATACAAAACAAAAACAAAAGAAAATCATTGACATTTGTTCGGTAAAAACAGTAGGATAAATACACAATGAGTCCATTTCATTCCATCGGTTTTTTTTTTTTCTTCTTTTTTTCCCCGGTTTAAAAGCTCAGTCACAGAGGACCAATCAGTCAATACCCCAACGGGGGCTACAGAATATGCAGTGTTACTTAAAAAGGAACATTCTACTAGAAAATGGTAGTAGCTATTGTACATAAAGGAGTTTAAGCCATACACTCATAACCATGACCATAACAGTATGAAAGAGGGAGGCTCCATTTAAAAATTGCTACAGTCTTTTTTCCCCATCTTTGTTTTTAAATCTTTTCCTACAATCTTGCTCTCCTTTTTTTTTCTCTTCTAAGCCATCTAACCCAACTGGAGAGAAAACAAACAACAGGTAACAGGGGAGGGTTGCGGGGAAAAGGTGCATTCCAGGGGGAATAGGAGGGACTTATACATTACCTGCCAGAAAACTATCAGTCTTATCACATATGGTAGAGTAGTAGGGTGTCTGGCTCTCGCCGGTTTCTCCAGATTCCACGGCCCCAAGGTGGCTGCTGGGCTCCAACGGATCGACGTTCTCCAGGTGGTCCACTCCGATCTTTCCCCCCAGCATGTAGTGGTGCTCTTCTAGAATGCCGGGATGGTGGTCGTCCGGGTGGCCCATAGGCATCAGGTCCACGGGTCTGCCCAGCAGGTCCTCTGCCTGGGCGGCGGCAGCAGCTGATGGCAGGGTCAGCTCCTTGATGAGGGACGGGTCCTTGGCCTCCTCTGGAAGCTGCTCCTCATTCTCCAGCGAGAAGATCCCTGGGCTCTTTCCGCAGCTCTCCGCCATGGAGTGGGCGTTCGAGTTGGACGTGGTGCAGTCGAAGCCGTAAGATGCCACGGAGTTGGCTGACTGGGGGGTGGTTCCGCCGCCGTCCTCCTCCTCGCCCTCTCCGGCCGGCACATCCCCCGCCTCCTCGTCCTCCTCGAGAGCGGGCAGGCTGCGGGTGGGAGGAGGGCTTTCGAATCCAGCTCTCTCGTCGGTCACCGCCGGTGCGTCGGGGTCGTTTATTTGCATCTCGCCCTCTGTGTCGCTGGCCTCGTCTCCTGAGGTGGAGGGGGAGGACGGGGCGGATGCCGGAGCGGTTGGGGGTCCTGTTCCTAGGACCTCGTCGGCGGGGAGTGTCTCGGCCTCCTCCTCTTCTCCATCACCTTTCTCCAAGTGAATGCCCAGGTCCTGCTCCATGTCGGGTTGCATTGAAGAGGGCACTGGGGTCTGCTGTTTGTCCGAGCGGGACTCCACCCCAGAGCTGCTGTCGTAGTCTTGCAGTTCCTCCGGTGTGCTCGTCTCGCTACTGCTGTGTGCGGCCTGAGCTGCGCCGGGCTGAGACATCCCTGCAGTCGGGGACAGGACATGAGCCTCCTCCTCCTCCTCATCTGCTGAGCTCTTCATCTCCTCGTGGGCTGACTGATGCGGCTGTGGCTCATGCTCTGACTCATGGGCAAAGGAAGGGGCACTGCTCTCCACACGTGCGTGGGCAGGAGACAGGATTGGCGTCTCGGATTCGGCCGCACCATGGTCGAACACAGGGCTGGGGGAGGAGACAGCGAGCAGGGAGGCCGGTTGAGCCCAGGTATCAACGAAGGGGTTGGACTGGCCCCAAGAGGAGGCAGGGGGGACGCAAGGCGGAGGACCGGAGCGATTTAGGTTGTCTAAACGCTCCTCCTCATTGAAGTCATCTTCATCTACATTCCCACAGCTCTCCGTCACCCCTTCGCTGTGCATCTCCACATCTTCGTCCTCCTCGTCCTCGTCCCGCTGCTGCTGCTGCTGCTGCAACGCCTTGTGATGCTCCTCCACTCTCTCTGAGCTCAGGTCCATATCGTCCACCCGCTCGTCCTCCTCATCCTCGTCCTCCTCGTTGGCCAGAGTTTCCACGTTGGGGGAACTCATGAGATTGACGTCTCCCTCTGAGCCACGGAGGCTGGAGTCGATCAGGGCGTCGGAGCTCTGGGTGCCCTCCAGTAGCGCGGTGTGCTGGGTGCTGCTGAGGTCGGACACGCCCTGCTGCCGGCTGCTGGTGCAGCTGCTTACGTCCTCGGAGTCCATGCCGGACAGCGGGTCGTCGCCGTGCCACGCTGCGGAGCCGACAAAAGCCGAGGGCCTCACTTGGAACTCTTCAGAGGGTTGAGACGTGCTCATGTCAGTGATCAGGGACGAAGGCAGGTGGCCTAGTCTCCTCTGCTCCTCATCTTCATCGTCCTCCTCCTCCTCCTCCTCCTCCTCATCATCATCCTCATTGATCTCCTCATCAGCCTTTTCCACTGCCTCCTCCTTTTCGTGCGGGGAGATCAGGTCCCCGGAGGTGAAATCACCCATGGGCGGGCAACCCAGCAAGAGAGGCTCTGGCATCATGTTGAAGGCCGCCGCAGATGGAGCTGTGGAGGTCGGCATAAACAGGTTCTCCTTCTCTTCTTCTTCTTCCTCCTCCTCCTCCTCATCCTCCTCTTCCTCCTCCCTTGTCATCTGTGCCTCAAACTGGTGTTTATTCTCCCTTTCCTCTTCTGTATAGAAGTTCATTGTATTGACGAGGCTCTGGGGGGCAAAGTCAGATGGACCCAGGGCCTGGTTTTCGCCCCAGGGATCGGACTGGATGTGCATGTCCAGCAGAGAAGAGGCGTTCTGTGGCTCTCTGACGGGGGACACGGGGCCCGGTGGGGAACAAGGAGGAGACATGACAGTCGTTCCCAGGCAGGGAACCGATTCATTGGCAGACTCCTCATATTTGAAGTGGTCCAGCTGAGCTGACAGCGGAGCAATGGAGACTGGTTCGTGGACTAGTTCAGCTCCTGTATCTGACTCTGGCTGAGACAGTGGTTCTGGGAGGGGCTCTGGAGATAGTTCTCGTACTGGACTTGGTTCATGTACTGGTTCTCGTACTTGGTCTGGACTTGGTTCACGTACTGGTTCTTGTACTTGGTCTGGACTTGGTTCACGTACTGGTTCTGGTGTCAGCATCGGTATAGGCTCTGGTGTTGATTCCCGCACAGGTTCAGGTGTTGGGTCTGACAGTTGTTCTTGCACTGCTTCGGTCTGGCTGGACATCAGTCCTGCAGCAGACGGTATAGGCTCTGGTGTTGATTCCCGCACAGGTTCAGGTGTTGGGTCTGACAGTTGTTCTTGCAATGCTTCGGTCGGGCTGGACATCAGTCCTCCAGCAGACGGTATAGGCTCTGGTGTTGATTCCCGCACAGGTTCAGGTGTTGGGTCTGACAGTTGTTCTTGCACTGCTTCGGTCGGGCTGGACATCAGTCCTGCAGCAGACAGCTCCACAGCTGGTCCTGGTTCCTCTGGCCCTGCGACGGCAGCTGCCGCAGTAGCGATAGCTGCAGCTGCAGCGACGGCGGCAGCGATTTCCTTTCCGGGTTCTGCAACAGTTGCAGTTTTGGGGTTGCGTTTCACGGGAGTCGGGGTGCTGCTGCCCACAGTTTTCTTGGGGGCGGCGGTCTTGGCTGCAGCTGCTTTGGAGCCAGGGGTCTTGGGGGCATCCTTAGACGGTGTGGGTTTACCGTCTGCTTTGGCGCGGCTGGGTGCCTTTGTGTCTGCAGCCTTACTGGTGGCAGGCTTTTTGGCGGCAGCGTCTGATTTTGAGGCTGATTTGGGGGTCTCTGGTTTTGCCGACTTGGTTTTAGAGGAGAGGGTGAGGGGGGACTCTGCAGGCTTTTTGGATGCTGAAGTGGCTGGTTTGGCAACATCTGGAGGAAGAACACAGCAGGCATGGTTAAACAATATTAAACCTAACAACAGCCTATCATAACAAAATAAGCACTTGAATATTGTTAGGATATGTCAAACCTAATTTTGTACAAAAGAAAAGATGTATTCTTGTTTGCGCATCACCTTTTTTCACAGGGGTTGTGTTTCTGGATGTTTGCGATGCTGGAGGTTTGCCACCAGAGGGGGTAGTGGAGGTTACTCTGGAGGCAGCGGGCTTGGCAGTGGTGGAGGAGGTTTTAGGGGTGGTAGTTTTGGTTGCAGCTGGGGAGCTCTTGGTTGTGCTGGTAGTGGGCGGCCGGGTGGAGCCTGTGGCAGGACGAGATGACGCTGCCGTGCCGGGTGTAGTCCTAAAGAAATGAACACAAAGAAGAAGGCTGAGCGACACGGAGAGGAGCTACCGCACAGAGATCTGGGGCAGAGAAAACAATGCCGGTTATGGTTATATGTTCTTTTACAAATCCCCATGGGACAGACATAACTAACTTAGCTCAAAACAATGGCAATTTCCTTATTGGCTTATTGAAGCGGACTGAAGTGTTTGAGCTGTCATGCCACAGCTAGGGGGCCAGCCTCATGTGGTGGTCAGCCCTATACTCTAAGTGCCTCGGAATGGTCGTGACAGGGAGCAAGGTCCTTGACTTGTCATTCATTAGTTACTTCTGCTGCCAGAGGATACGCTCAGAAACAGCACAAACATGAGCCTACAAAACAATACAAGGGAGGATAAGGAGAGGACAGGCCGTCGTTAGTGGGTGCACAAGCAGCCAAAGCCCTGAACTAAATAGCCTTTCACAAATGTGGCATCAGCCCAAATCGAATGACTACTTGTAAACATGGTAATAGAAGGAGCACGACACTGACGACTGCGCTGTCGAAGATAAGAAGCTATTCCCACTTATCTGCTATATTTATTGTCTTTTATCAATTCTGTTGGTTTCATTATTTTATTGTTCTTTCTCATGTGCAGCCTCAATTTGGTTGTTTTTCATTTGTTGTCGTCTTATTGGCTTGTTCAGCCGCCTGTAAAGCATGTATGAAAGGAGCTGTAAAAAGAAAGTTTGATGGATTTATTATAAAAGACCACGAGCAAAAAGCATCGCGTGAGGGATTTGCATTAAATAAATCAGTAGAGCGCTGCCGGGATGAGTCCTAAAACCAGGAAATGAGTCAGCACTTTTGCACTTCATGTTCCCTCATTTCAAAGTCAATGGGTTTTTGATTAGACGTCTGAACTAAGGTTTATGGTTAACACAAGCTTTGGATACTTGAACAGTTAATGTTAAGCTTTTTCATGTCTTAAAAAAAGTGGCTAAATGAGACTACGAAGCGTAATCACACCAAACACTAGTGTGCCTTCAGCTCAGTGGGGGAGACGAGGAACATGTGACCGTGGTGGAGCTTGTTTACAGCCCAACGTTCGCTATTTACTTCTGAATATTTCATTCACCCTCAAAAATCATAAAAGCGGTATTCATTCGTGAAGTATAATAAACACCACAGAGCTGATTTTCTGCAAAATTCCGAAACCCAGCGGAAAAATCCCATCGGCACATTTTGTTGAGTGAACCGGTGCGATGCAAACGTCTGTGTTGGCCTCCACAAACACGTCATCCCTGCAGCATCTGAGCCCCAGCTAGCTCTTCCATAGCCGCCATGACGAACGTCCCCCGAGGGGCTTAGAAGCAAAGCAGTCTGGGAGGTGAGTCACCATGGACCCCAGAGAGGCATCCCAAAACACAGTCCACCCTTCTCTCTGATCTCTCGTCTATACCCACTCCCCACGAGGGAATGACACTTTTGCGCATCGGCCCGCCTGCTCTGAACTGTGTCACATCTGAGCGATGTAGCCTACGTGTAGTGGTCCTGACAGGGCTGTGGTGTGCAGTCTCCCCGGGCCCATGCTGCACGAACTGCCTGTTTCTAAATAAAGACTTGAGCGAGCACTGGCAGAGAGAGACAGAGAGACCGAGAGAGAGAGAGAGAGAGAGAGAGCAGGGAGGTAAGCGGGAGAGCGAAGATGGCTGGGAACACGTTAATCTTTAATACTGAAAGGAGAAACTAAAATAACTCCTCCGAATGAGCCAGCTGGAATCTCGGGCTGTGTTAAAAGCACACTCTTGTCTGCGAGGGCGGTGAGCTGGTGCGTGCTGTTCGCTACCTGGCAAACGTAACGGAATACAGTTTGGTAACATAAAATGAGATTAGAGCCAGGGAGCGACGGGTGGCAACACAACCAGGGGTGTGGTCACGTCGGGAGTTCAAACAAGCTTTTACAGCTGATCCACAACATTTCAGGATCGCTTCGGGGTAGTGAAAGGTGCGTTACTCATGCTGAGGTTGTTGGATCGTGTCAATGCAGTTTTGATAATCTACAACCCATAAAAATCTGGCTGTGGAAAACCACGAACGAACTCATCGGTGACGCGTCGTTTTACTGTGTGTTTACTGGAAAATCAGAAAGGCTGATGAGGTCATTTGAAAAGCCACGCCCCCTCCTTTTGTAGAAGAGACGAGGAAAATGATTATCAGCTGGCACAGAAGTGGAATGTACCGTGCTGGCTAAGGGAAAAAACGTTTTAACAAAAAAAAAAAAAAAAAAAAGTCTTTAATTAGAAATCGAATTTAATTAAAATTTATTTAATCTAAAATGTCTTCTCTATAAGATTCTGTACTACAAAGCTCGGAGTCCTAAATTAAATCAATTAGATAAATTGGGAAACGTTAAAAGAGATGTTTATTGGTCGGCAAATAAACAAGACGTTAAAATGTGAAATTATAAATAAATGTTGGACTCTGTGGAGCCTGAATTAGGGAGTAGAAGATAAGAAAAAGAGTTACAGGGGGAGGAGAATGGGGTGAACCTGGCATTAGAGATGAAGCATGCTGAGGGGGATACTCGGAGAGAGCATTTGCAATAATCCGTCTGATAAAAGGAGTATGGATAATCCAAGAAGACAGGTACTGCTTTAGAGAGTGCTGGAAATGAACCGGGCCACTGAGAAGGAAAGAGGAAAGAGGGAGACCAAGCGAGAGAGATGGGACGGAGGGGGCAGATAATTATTCATCCGATTACACATTATCTTATATCGATGTCTTCTTCTTCCTTTATCAAAGAACACTACAGCATCTGAGAGACAGGGCCACGGTACGATAACTTATTGCAGTCTTTAATTAAATGTTGCGAACTCAATGGCGGCTTGTGGGAAGCCGTGTAGTTCATATTCCCCCCCGCCGAGAGAAACAGACAGCCCAGAAAAAACAACTGTTTGGTTGCTACTGGTGCACAGCGAGGTGTTTAACGTTCGCCTCTGTCGCCTGAGGATCATTATTAACACTCTAGTATTATTGCAACTACACATTTCCTCAATCACTGGGGCAGAGGACGGATTACTGTGTAAAAAAAAAAAAAAAGAAGCGGTTGCCTGCTGGTGCTGCTTTGTTTGAGAAGACAACAAGAGTCGGGCTGCGATTTGAATAATGAGATGAAAGGGGGGGCACATGAGTAAGCAGGAGCTAAGCGAGCAAGCAGGCAGACATCTTCCCCCGCAGCAAAGGGGCGACGTAACCGTGGAGGAGGGCCCTCCCAAACTATTTTAAGATGATGCCGTGTTAATTGAGCACCAGACATATGGAGGCAGGATCTTCAGCCTGGTTGGAGCAGCCTCTCGGGAAGCACACAGTCATGTGACCGAGGGTCATTGTTAAATGAACCTGATGAGAGGGCTCCGCTCTATATGTGATCATCCCTTTCCTAACGTATCTTTATGGGACAACAGGAGCTCACTGTGGTTGGTAGCCCGAAGTCACAGAGGTGTCTGCTTAATCTGCAGCAGCAGCAGAGCAGGAAGTGCAGCCCTCTGGTGCTTCATGTTCTACAGTGTAGATCAAATACAACCTAAACCAAGGCGGCATCTCCGGATAGGAGAAGTGAAGCCAAAGCTGAAGTGCCTTAAACTCACTCTTTTTGATGGCCATCAGGGGGCGACTCCTCTGGTTGTATAGAAGTCTATGAGAAAATGACTCTACTTGTCTCTTGATTTATTACCTCAGTAAACATTGTAAACATGAGTTTATGTCTCAATAGATAGATAGATAGACAGATAGATAGATAGATAGATAGATAGATATGCTCAGCTTATGTTTGAAAATAGAACAGCTGATATGTGGGTCTGGTTCCACAAAGCGTTTTCTCCGATGTCTATTACATCTATCACATGTCTGCGGCATGAGTGAACACCCACAAGCAAGCCCGTGCACTCTCCAACCTTTGTCTCACACACTCAGACGTGCACGCCTCCTTCCGTCCCTTTCCTTCTCTCTCTGGACTCGTTCCCGCTACATCCATTTGGTAATTGGCTCTGCGGCTGCACCTCCGTAAAAACCACGGATGTCACCTGCCACACCCAAAGCGGGACGGAGGATTTACAGCCTGCTTAGTGCTGGATGGCAGCACAGTGTGTGTGGAGAGGACCCTGAACGCTGCCCGCCACACACACACACACACACACACACACACAGGCCCATTACATCAGCAGTAATTTGTTAGATCATGAGGAGGGTTGCATTCAATTCGGTCCAATAAAAATATATCATCCCTGAGGGACCATCAGGGAGGAAGACAGCATGACTAATGTGGGAACATGGGGTGGCTGAGAGGTTGGCAAAGAAAGCGAGGGCAAAAATGGAAAAACCGCCTGATCGCCCGACAGCGAGCTCGTCCTATTTTCCTCCTCAGAGTTTGTGAAATAAGGACTGAATGCCCTTCCTTTGTCCTCTAATCTATAGGCCAATATCACCCTCTGCTTCACACAGAGACACCCTCTGGTCCTCCGCTTCT